CCATGGTGTTGGCACATGCCTTTGAGGGGAACAAGCAAAGTGAGGGGCAGGGAAGCCAGGGGAGCGCTCAGCGGGCAGCAGCTGTGGGAGAGAGGGGAGCACGCCACGGGACGGGAAGAAAGAAAACAGGCAAACCCAAGCTAAAGCGGTTAAGGCCCCTCAAACCAATACCAGCGGCTCTGAAAGGTTCCCGGGAGACCTCAGCTCTCCGGGGCGGCTCCCAGGTGGGCCGGCTCTGGGTAATGCCGGGCCCGGTGCGGTTTCCAAGGAGACGGGACGTTCACAGCCTGGCGCTGGGCAGATGGCAGATGTGTAAATATTTGTTGATGAAGAGATCACAGCCAGTTTCTTCTGGAGTGGTAAGGAGAGGGGGCAGCGGCCCTGGGGAGAACTGGAGGAGGAGCTCCTGGATGTTTCCAGAACCCAATTTATGCAGCTTCTGCTAATGGAAAACTAGTTTGCTCTCCTAAACAGGCTGCAAGGGCCGACCTTCTGCCCAGAAGGCATCCTTCCTCAGGCCAGGAAATGCCAAGAGGCCGATGGGAGAAGAGCGAGCTCTTCTGCTCTCCCACACCCTCCTGCGGAAAAGAGCGGGATGCTGTGTTTGCAGGGAAGGGGACCTGGGTGTGCAGTCCCAGGGGGTCTTAGAGTGGCCACCACGCCTATTGATATGAACTATACGTAGGGTCCGTTAAATAAGCTCAACATCACTACTTTGAATTGAAATATTTTGAATTCATTTTGTTCAAAGTTGATGCAGACTTGCTCACCAGAAAGCCATCTCTGAGTTAGACATCGTTGTGTAAGAGGGTTATTGGGACGAGCTCTTGGATCAACACCGACAGGAAAGAAGGAAGGAATCGAGATTGGGCAGAGGGCAAAGTTGATCTACGATGCTCTGGAGAGTTCTGGACATGGGGTGACTTTCCACAGCTGTCCTGGTTTGGGGTCAAGGACTGGGACCTTGACACTCTTGCACTGACCAGCCCCCGGGGGCAGGGGTCTGACCTGGAGCAAAGTGATCCGTGGCAGCCAAAGTAGTAAATCTGTTATTCCTAAACCGAGATCGGGTGGTGCCTCCCAGCACCCACCACAGTGGGGGAGCATAAATTAATAGGAAACAATATTATCGGGGAAAAAGCACCCTCTCGTATCCAAATAGCCGCCCCGCCCCCCATCATTACTGCCTGTTCCCTTGACACGCAGAGAGCTCTCATTATGTGAAAGGACGTCATCTGTTTACTAGTTTATTTCCTGTCTCTTTTTTTAGACTGGTGGTTCCCTGAGTTCAAAGCTTCATGAGTCAGAGGATAGAAACTTTGTCTTAGCAGACAGACCAGCACGCGGACCATTTCCTGACACATAACAGTCGCTCAACAACACAGACCCCGTTAACGGAACGAGACACCATAGCGGGTGGCGAGAAGCCGGGCTGGTGTTGCAGATGTTGTCAGGAGTCAGGGAAGGAGGAGGGAATGTGCTGTGCGGCCAGATTCCGGGGCTGACGACTGGGGACCCAGCGACGCAGCTGCACTTGGACTTGCTCTGCGTGATGCTGTCTCTGGGAGCCCCGCAGGATTCTTCCTCCAGGCAGGGGCCCCGCTGGGGAAGAGAAGGAGGCGAGACGCACATCGATCCTTCCTCCTCCTTCTGCAAGGCACCTCGCTGTGGCAGCGCTGGCCCAGCCTTGCCGGCCACCAAGGGGCCACCTGCGCGGCCCTCCTTCCCGCGGAACACTGGGAATTTCAGGAGCCGCGTGCTGGCGGGAGATTGGCAAGAAACCCACGTGGCGCTCGGGGTTCTTGCTGCTCGTCATCGTGGCTGTCACTGTGGGTCCTTCACCACAGTGCCGACAAGAGGGAGGCTGCCAGCCATCAGAGCTGTCCGCACATCCCTTCCTCCGCCCCGGGGTCTCGCTGTGTCCGTCTCCCACCGGCGGCTGGCGAGCTAACTTCTGGCCAAGGGTTCAATGAAATAAACTCGGGTTTAGTGAGGTGGAAGGTTCTTCCGCTTGCCCTTTCCAGGGAGAATCAGTCTAATTCGCAGGTTCGTGCTCCCGGGACTTGGGTCAGCTCTTCCTCCCTCTTTCAGCTGAACTCATTAGTGACACAGACTTTTTTATTCTTAAAGCTATTCAGTGGTCAGAGGGTCTTACGGAGCCTCTTTGGGACCCGCCGTTAGCACAATTGTCCTCCCGGAACGGGCACTCCTATAGCGACAAGGCTGAAGCGGTCGCTTTTCCTGCTCGGACAGGCTCAGGCCAGCCAAGCCCAAAGTCGCCTTGGGGCCAGCCCCTTCTGGACCAGGACACTGCCCTCAGACCCGAGGGCACTCGGGGTGCCGGTTTCCACCCCTCTGCTCCTCTCCTCAGCCTCAGAGCCCACGGGACCCACAAATCCAGGCAAGCTGAGCCCCTTTCTCACTAGCCCCGCAGGAGGATGAGGGGTGTGGGGAGGGTGGGAAAAGGCCAGGGTGCTCGGAAGATGCCCAAAGGCGTATTTCCATGAGAACATTCGGCTGTGTAGGAGAACCCAGGTGTTCTCCTCAGAGGCTGCAGGCAGACCTTCTCCCCAGAGTGTACCACGCCTCCAGCCAGGAATCCTCTGGGGCCTTTACTTTCTGTAATTCCCAGGCTTTGACATCCGGATCCTTGCTGAGACTGGAGACACCAGCCCTCCCGGGGCTAGCCGGTTCCCGGAGACTGTACGCATAATTCACCTGGGAGTGTGCTCGTCATGTGCAAACGAGCCCCTCCGGCGCCCACTCACCTGCCACGTCCTCTGCGGGCGCCCACACCCTGGGCCCCTCCGCCCCGGCTCTCACTACTCCTGGGCCAGCTACCAGCCAACTCAGGACAGCCACTGTACCCCAGAACCCGTGGACATGATTCAAGCCAGCCAATGCTAAGCCTCCTCACCATGCCTAGTCTCTTCCTTCTCGCAGAAATCCCAGCACAGGCTCTTGGCCACGTTCTCCCCTTGTTTCTTCTGCCTCCGACCGAGCCCGGTGCTTCCCGTGGGGCCTTGTGTGACGTGGTGTCTCCCCCCGTGGGTAACCAACTACCTTGGCGATGGCGGGTGTCTCCAGATCTGTAGACCTCATCGTGCCTGAGTCATCGTCAAACCTACTATTAAGCCTTAAAAAAGAGTAAAATGTTGCCATTTGCCACGACACAAGTGGACTTTGATGGCGTTATGCTGAGTGACATGTCAGCTGAAGACAAGTACCGTGTGATCTCACCTACGTGTGGAATCAAAGAAACAAAAACCAACCAACCAAGCTGAAAACCCAGGCTCTTAGACACAGGGGGTGGAGGGTGAGCAAAATGGGTGACTCGGGTCGAAAGGCACAAACTTCCAGTTATAAAATAAATGAGTCCCGGGGGCGCCATGTACAGCATGGTGACTGTAGTTAATGATACTGTATTGCAAATTTACAGTTTTTAAGAGAGTAAATCTTGAAAGTCCTCATCACACAAAAAAAAATCTTTTGTGACTATAGGGACAGATGTGAACTAGACTTACTGTGTGTGTATCATTTTGCGATATATGCCAATATAAATCATGTTGTACACCTGAAGCTAATCTTCTAGGTCAATTCTGCCTCCACTGAGAAAACCCCACATCCTACATCGGTCCCCTAGGCTCTCTCTTGGAAGACCAAGCCCTCCTGTTCACCTTGATGGGGGAAAACCATCCGTCTTCTCGCTTCTGACCAGAGCTGCGCCCATCCACCCTGTGTCCACGTCGGCCTCAAAGATGATGCTTTACACTGAAGTCTGAGCTCCTGTTCCAACTCTTGGAACTACTTGTGCATCACAAATAAATTTGATTTTTAAATGTTAGGCACTTCCTGGACCCAATGAGAAAGATTTTTCAGGGGCGCCCATGGTTTAGGAAGACAGAAAACAGCTTCGAAGACAACAGGAGGGAATCTGTGCCCAGGAGAAGAGCCACTCCCTCTTCATTTCCAGAAGTGTCTGCCCTGCCCTGTGGGGCCTGGGGCAGCTCACAGAGCCAGTCTCTCACCTTGCTTGAACCTTCATTCTTCTCTGGAAGTCTTCTGAGGTCTAGTGACCCCTTCTCAGAATACAGATTTTATATAAACACAATTTTAGATAAATATAATTTTATATAAATAAAATAGGATATGGAGTATTACAAGGGAAAGTAACTACACTGGAATTCAAGTAGTAAAAATATAAAAAATTTCTGATTTAGAAGTGGTAGGCACTGCGGCCCCCTTCAAGACACTCCAGGTGGGGTACACCGCTTTGCTCCTGCAGGTGTCCCCTGTCCTCATAAACCAGGGGTCAATGATTCTCCTCCTGAATTTTCAGTGGCCAGTTTTTAGTTGCACTTTGACTCCTCTCCAACCCCTGACCCACGCTTGACAATTGCTGGCCGATGCCATGTGCAAAGTAGACCCCAAGTGACCGATGTGAAACTTAGGAACAGTAACATTGGAAGGTCAGCCTCCATGATGTAGCCACCTGCGCCCCAAACAAAGCAGAAGTGACTCCTGGATTATTCGGCCCCCGGCCTGGCATCCCTGGGATGGGCTGTGAATTATCCTCCTCCTCCGTTCCAGGCTTGTGCATGGCACAAGCAAGAAAATCATCACTGTAATTTAGCTTAATGGGAGGACTCCCAGACCCCTCCCAGCAGCCGTTCTGCTTGTGTCTTGGAATTTTCTGGGAGGCTCGCATCCCCGCGCTCCTCCCCCCCATGCTCAGGCCTCCTGCCATCTGGCCAGGCCAGATTACCACAAGCCAATCCTAATTTTAAAATGTAACCAGAGGGGGTGCCTGGACGGCGCAGTCAGTTAAGTGTCCAACTCTTGGTTTCAGCTCAGGTCATGATCTCAGGGTCGTGAGATCGAGCCCCACATCAGGCTCCACACTCAGCAGGGAGTCTGCTTGAGATTCTCCCTTCCACTTCCTCTGCCCCTCCTGTTGTCTCTCTAAATCTTTAAAAAAAGGTAACCAGAGAAGGTCAAAATTCCACTTGTAAAATCATTTTATTGGTATAAATATACATATGAATAAAATACCTCAGCCTGTAATGTAAGTGAATATTCGTGAAATGTCTTAAAAAGAGTAGTGTTTTGATTTTTTTACAGGTGTCAAAGTATTCTTTCTTCAAATCATACATTAAAAGCTAATATGCAGACAGAAATTAAAGGCCTTTGAAAATCACGAACACTCATAAAACTTCATTCCAATCAACTATGTACATTGACCCCGGCACATGATAGCATCAGCCGCAGGCCTCTCTCACTCTGTTCTTCACTGTGCTTACTGATGGTCCTACAAAGGTCACCGACCAAATTTAAATGTACAATTCCACATCAGGAAGGAAGAAGTTCCCCATGGGAGAATGTAAAAACCATAGCCGAGATCTAATATATATAATTTGTACAAATTATTTATTAGTGTGCTCTGTTAATATACTTACAATGTGCAATTGCATACATCAAGAACAAATCGCTCTATCAAGTGCAGATGTGACGGGCACCCACAGCGGAGCCCCACGGTCAGCCGATGGTATTACTTGTGTGAGTTATGTGTCTGGTTGCTTTGTTCACCTCCCAAAACTCAAATTGCAGGGCAAACTGTAGCTGCCTCAGAGAAAATTCAAGTAGGACGCATGGAGAGTCGCTGGCATTCACTGAAGGCATAGAAGGAATGCTTCAAACTCAAACGCCCAGGGTGGGGAGAAGACCAAACAAGTGTGTTTGGATTCCCCCCTACGGCAAAAACTGGGTCTGTTTGTTTTCAAAAAGTAAGTAAAGAAAGAAGGAGAAAGAAAAGAAAAAAGCACCAAGAGAAGAGCGTCGGAAGTAGGAAGAGGTGTTGCCCTTTGTTCCTCTCTAATGGCTAACAGAGCACCCTGTGCAGTCTGCATGGGGGACCTTTACACAAAAATAAACTCTTTTTCTGCTTCTTCCCCAGAGTCGCTGGACTTGCTGCCTTGGTGGCCATCTTTACTGGAGGACCATTGCTTCTGTTCTTGATACTCCTGGGCCTGCTGGCCCCAGCTCTTCCTTGAAACTGAAATAGAAAGGGAAGGATGTCATTATAGTCGATGAACAAGGGACAGTCAATGGCCTGACCATTAACGGGGTGAGATGCAGGGGCCCCGAGAGGCGGGAGGGCTCGGGAGGACCTTACGCAGAAACAACTCACCAACTACGTGGAGAGACTCGAGACGAAAATTAAGAACAAACCAACAAAACCAGAAACAAATTAAAACAAGAAAACATACAAACCCCAGTCTAGCAATGATGGTGGAGTAATTGCCCGAACTGAGCCTTTGGCACGTGTCCTGTCGGGCACACTCCGCTCTCTAATCGCTATTCCTCACAGCTACCCAGGAAGGCAGGTTTTGTAAACTTGGAATCCAGATTTAAACTGGATCCCTCTCTTGGGGAGCCTGGAGGGCTCAGTCAGTTGAGCATCTGACTCTTGGTTTTGGCTCAGGTCATCATCTCAGGGTCCTGAGATCGAGCCCCGAGTCAGGCTCTGTGCTCAGCGCGGTGTCTGCTGGAGATTCTCTCTCTGCCCCTGCGCACATGCACTCTCTGAAATAAATCCATAAAATCTTAAAAAAAAAAAATAAAAGGAATCTCTCTCTTCAAAGACCCTGTTCTTTACAACTAGAGCAGAGCTTCACTGGTACCATATGCCTCAAGGCTTTTTTTTTTTTTTTAAAGATTTTATTTATGTATTTGAGAGAGAGAATGAGAGACAGAGAGCATGAGAGGGAGGAGGGTCAGAGGGAGAAGCAGACTCCCTGCCAAGCAGGGAGCCCGATGCGGGACTCGATCCCGGGACTCCAGGATCATGACCCGAGCCGAAGGCAGTCGCTTAACCAACTGAGCCACCCAGGCGCCCCGCCTCAAGGCTCTTAAGGGTTATTACATATTCCACACCAAGCCTGTTGTATAGATACCACTTAAGCTAAAAATACCAAACCCCACACTTTGTATGGCTTGAAAGAAGAGAAAAGCTACCTCATCGCTCAAAAGGTCAAACGATCCAACCAGAACACAGGCCTGGAAAGAGACAGGATTCATCTGACGCTTCTCATCAGCCTGATGTTAGCATTATGCTAAAAACTCATCTTGCCAGGAACTAGCTATTTAAATGCTTAACCCACTAAAGAGTGTTTTTCAGGAAGTAAAATCTCCTGAAACCTAACAGTCAAAACACAACATGATAAAGTACTTCCCTTGCCAATCTGGTTGTCAGAGCCAGATTCTGATCTCTAGACAATAAAAATTTGAATTTCATTAATTACATTAAAATGAAATTAGTGTTCTGAAAAGGATAAGCATTTCAAATTTCATCATAAAAATCAGTAATTTTTTTTAAAGATTTTATTTGTCAGAGAGAGAGCAAGAAGGAGCACAAGTAGGGGGAGCGGCAGGCAGAGGGAGAAGCAGGCTTCTCGCTGAGCAGGGAACGCATGGGGCTCACTCCCAGGACCCTGGGATCATGACCTGAGCCGAAGGCAGATGCTTAACTGACTGAGCCACCCAGGCGTCCCCCAAATAAGTAATTTTTTAAAAATTTGACCTCTTTTTACCCAACACCTTTGAGCAAATTCTCAGATGGAAAAGTGATGAATAAATATCACAACTGATTTTATTTTTTAGCTTGAACCATGTAAAAAAAAATAAATGTCCTTTGAAAGTTGTCAACAAATCAGGTTTGGGGGAAAAAGGTAAAATAGGTTTCTATATATAGCTTGTCCTTTATCACAAAATCAATTTGATAGTAACACACGAAGGGTCCTGTATATTCTCAACCTCTGCGTGTGCTATGAACAGGAGGGAGTAGAGCAGATTTGTAGTATCTTCATCTCGAAGACACTGCAATAATCTGACCTCAAAATAGAGCATTACTAGGGAAATCTTGCTAGAAAATTCTACTCATTCCCTCTTAAAACCAAAATGAATTGTTCCTGTGTATCAAGTGACTCAGAAACAAATTTCCAACACTCTAGGTTCAAAAAAAGAAATACACATGGTGATACATTGCTTATTTGTCTTCAGAGCAAACTATTTGCTCTAAGTCTTAGATTCAAAAGCTATTCATCCCTCCCAGCATTTTAGCTTCCTCAAAATCCCAGGCCTAATTCATGTTCTGTGACACCAGAGTACTCTAAAAATGGAGAAATTCATGCCATCAACAATGTTTATGTCACAGGCAAAAACAGAGAGCACCATGGACCAAGGTCGCTGGGGCGCAGCTAACTGAAACTCAGGGAGATCCCACAAAGGAATCTTCCTGCAGAAAGCAGTGTCCTTCAGTGTCCTTCAATCCACATCCCAGTGACCTGATTCGGAGTCCTCCAGGGCTGGGGGGCGGGGAGGGCTGGGGAGGGAGGTACAGAAGGATACAGCAAACATTAATAAGTGAACAGGCTGGGTTTTATTTAGGTTGGTGACATAGACCCAGCACCAGTCATGAAGGCACAAATTTTAATTTGTCCAACAAAATCCCTGAGAGGAATAACATGGTCTTTCTAGAGGCCCAACAAAACAGTTCACTAAGGCAGTGACACTATTTAAAATCATTCTAGGGGCGCCTGGGGGGCTCCGTCGGTTAAGCGTCTGCCTTCGGCTCAGGTCGTGATCCCAGGGTCCTGGGATTGAGCCCCGTGTGGGGCACCCTGCTCAGCGGGGAGTCTGCTTCTCCCTCTGCCCCTCCCCCCGCCCCCGCTCATGCTCTCTCTCAACTAAAAAAATCATTGATTAAACTCTACCACTTGTGAATGTGATCATGGTGTTGCAGGGAGCCCGGAGAATGGACAGGAGACCGAAGCAGGTGAGATCAAGGAACTGAAATCAGATGAGTAGCCAAAGCGCTCGCTCTCCCAGCCTCCCAACTTCTTCTCATTAGCCCAGAACACTGGTGCAAACAACTTTGTAGGGGAATGTTCTTTGTCAAGTTTGTTTTCCAGCCCTTAGGCACCACTTATTTGATTACATATAATTAGGATGCTAATTACAATTATATTGAAGTAGGTTTGGTCAAGCTCCCGCTAATGAACAGTCCGAATAAGATTATGTCTGCTTGATGGGCGCCTGGGTGGCTCAGTTGGTTAAGCGACTGCCTTCGGCTCAGGTCATGATCCTGGAGTCCCTGGATGGAGTCCCGCATCGGGCTCCCTGCTCGGCGGGGAGTCTGCTTCTCCCTCTGACCCTCCCCCCTCTCATGTGCTGTCTCTCTCAGTCTCTCTCTCTCAAA